CTAGGCCCGAAACGTCAGCCTTCCTGCTCCTCTGATGCTGCTTGGCCTGCTGTGTTCATCCAGCTCTACACCTTGTTATCTCTACCTCAGGCTTGCTGCAGTGCAAGCTGGAAGAACAGCACTTTGTTTTCTGCTTGGGGACTCTGCAGCCTTTTGGACTCAATATCGAGTTCAATACCTTTAGGGCCTGAGCACATTCTCCCATCTCCTTACCCCAAACCCCACACACCAGGCCTTGTTATCACATAATCTACTATCACACACAGCCTATTGTTAGCCACTAATAGTCTCCAATATTTGCTACTCATTCTCCTACGCTGACCATTATCCATTCCTTTGTCCAAATGTTCTCTCCCTTTGGACTTTATCTCCACCTATCATTTACTCCTTAACCCCTCCCCCCATCTTGAACATAAAACCAACTTTTTCCTAGCTACCATCAATCTGAGAAAGGGTCACTGGATCTGAAATGTTAACTCTGATTTCTCTCCACAGATACTGCCAGACCTGCTGAGCTTTTCCAGCAATTTCTGTTTTTGTTTGTGAACTGTTTCAGCTTGCCTGGCCACCTTCAGAAACTCATGCAACTGAACCCCAAGGTCCCTCTGCTTTGGTACTTTGCTCAAAGTACCATTGAGCCTGTATTTCCCTCTATGTTTCTTCTTTCAAAATGCATTACCTCAAATTTCTCTGCGTTGAAATGCATCTGCCAGGAGTCTACCCATTTGGCCAACTTGTCAATGTCCCTCTGAAGTCACTCAGCATCATTCTCACAATTCACCATTCTCCCTAACTTAGCATCGCCAGCAAATTTAGAGATTTAGACCACAACACACATCTCCAAAGCATTTATATAAATCAGAAAAAGCAAGAGTCCCAACACCGATCCTGGTGAACACCACTTTCAACTAATCTCCAATCTGAGAAATGATCATCTATCCCTCTGTTTCTATTTTTCAGCCAACTTCTAATCCACTCTACCAACGACCCAGCAATCCCAAACATTTCTAATTTGCTAACCAACCTTCCATGTGGCACTGTCTCACTGTATTAATGGTTACCTTTTCCGCAGAATCTTCCTGACCTGCTGAGTATTTCCAGCATTTACTGTTTTTATTTCACATTAGCAGCATCTAATATTACACCCTGGGGCCCGGGTATAGTCATCCACCCTGTCACTCCCTGGCTCAGTCAGGACACCACACTGCTCTCACCGACTGTATTCCTCTCTAATGATCTTCATCACTCGCCGAACGATGTTCCCCACACTGGTCTCCGAGGGATGAGCTGCAATCATCCTCCGTCCTTCAGTTCGGATCAAATTCAGTAACTCCCCTAAAAGGGGGTAAAATCAGCACATTAGAGGGAGAAACAACCAGGCTGTTGGTGTAAATACCCAGGACAGACAAGGACGGAATAAGTACTCAGACCTGGGGGTAAATACCCCGACTCTGAGGGGGCAGGGTGGTGGATGTGGGAGACTAAATATCCAGGCCCAAGAGTAAATGTATAGAGCCTGGAG